GTATGAGTTTTGTTCTAGGAAATACGGCGATGGGACACTAGAAATTTGATCTTGATAGATCCTATTTATTCAGCTTGATAGGCCAATTTATTCAACTATTGAATTAAACTATTGTGTAAAATCACAAACGTTTTAAAACGCGCTTTTTTTTTAATGAATTCATTAACCATATAAAACTAGAAAATCTATTAGGTGAGTTTGTGACGGATTATTGCTCAAAAACAATTCAAAGAAAATTTAAATAGACTGTTAGTTCAACATTTTCTAACCTTACTAAAGAAAAAAAATTAAAATGAAGTATATGTAAACAAAGCTTTAAACTGGTTAATTACTTTTGATTTATCTCTGCCTGATGCTTCAGAAATAAGTAAAAACAATGAGTTAAATGTCATAGACTACAAGTAGAGTACATTTAGTGCTTTTTTTTTTTTTAATTAATAGTATTTTTTACAGAGCGTTATAATGACCTTCATTATCTCTTCTAAGTTCAGCTTCTCTACTGTCAAATTTAAAAAAGTAAAACATATTTAGTTATTCTAACTGGTGTTAAAATGGAAAATGTATTTAAAAAAATTAATTTAATATTTTTCGATTGATTACATTATTATGTAGCATATATTTAAACTTTGGATTATTATAAGTTGGTCGTAAAATATTTTCAAATTACTGATCCGACACTCACTAAATTGGATATTGGATTAGTTTAGACAAGCTGTTAAAACTAATCTCGGAAAATATTCTTTTTAATAATTTAAATAAGTTCAACATTCATTTAATGGGCAATAAAAAATAAAATGACGTCTTAATTTTTCCGAGAAATATACAAAAACAATCTAAAAACAAAAACTCTAAACGCGCTTGCGAGTTTATTTTGAGAGTCGGTTATTTGATACTTTGATTTCGGTCCGACGTTTTATGAAGTCCATTAAGAGACAACAATTTTAAGCACCTTGATAAATTTTAATCTAAAAATTAATTTCTCCAACACATATGCACGAAAATTTATGTTATTATTATTATGTCTAAAAATAATTTGTACGTAAAGAACTTGGGTAATCTTGATGATGACGATTTATGGTGTTTATTTAATGAATTTGGCAAAATAATTTCTCATAAAATATCCAGAAATTCTTCTGGACAAAGTAAGGGATTTGGATTTGTTTGTTTTCAGCATGAGAAGGATGCAAAAACTGCTATAAGGTTTGGTTTGTTAATATCATTTATTTTTAGTATTATTATTTAAAATTAGTTATTATTGCTATTTTATTATTTAAATTTGTTGTTGTTGCTATTCCTTTTTTTTTTTTAAGTGAGTTATTTCATAATAAATTTATAAAAAGAGTTATCAATAATTAACATTTAAATTTCGGTCAATAATTTCAACCATAAAACATGTTAACTTTCAATAAATGCTAATTTAAAACATAGAGTTATATTAACTTTGAACAAATGAACATTAAAAGCTTAAATATATAAAAATGCCTGGTTTATATACATTTAGTGACGGGTTTGCATTGGGTTGGGTAGTACCTTATATATATGGTTTACAATAAATTCACCTGCAATAAATTCACAAAAGCAATTGCAATAAACTCATAAAAGACGTTTTTTAATGTGATTATAAAATTTTTTATTGTATACATTTTATATAATCTTCATTTTCATATTGTTTATTCTTATGTACAATAAAAAATGAAAAGCAATCATAAAGAGGTTTTATTTTTCAAATAAAACCTCTTTATGATTCTATTTTATTTTATTATAATATATGTATTTGTCATTATTTTATAGCAAACTGATATATAGTTAGTTTACTTTAATCGATTCTTTAATAATAATATTAAAAAAAATATAAGTATTTGCAATTACAGGAGTACATTAGTATAACCTAATAGAATTACTTTGATATATACTGGATACATAAATAACAAAAAAAATTTGTACGCAATAAAAATTTCATTACATACAAAATTTTATATAGAAGAAGTTATGTAGAATTAAAATTAACATACTATAGTACTAAAAAAAAACTGTATTGAATCCTATCTTGATTATTATTCATATCTTTAAAATCTGTTTTAGATGCATTTTTTGACATCTGCTTCAAAAAAAGTTTTGTGTTTTTTTCATATATGTAAAACATATAATAATTTTTTTTTAATAACTTATCAAAACAATGTATCTCTAACTTTTGTTACATTTTTGTGCTTAAAGTGAATTTTAAACAATACAATTGCAGTAGTGGTGTAGTGGTAGAATACTTGCTTCATAAACAAGTGGTTCCAAGTTCAATCTTCACCACCTCCCTGGCAGTATTGCCCTCAACTTGTTTTCTTATTCATTAATGTTTGTATTTTGGAGTTATAGACTCAAGAGGTTATAAGCACAATTAAGTAGCCTCTTTTTCTGTAGTGGTCTTCTCGGCCTTTGGGAGGTGAATTAACATAAATAAAAAAAAAGCTTAAAAAATGCTAAAAAATGAAATTAACATGCTAAGAGATTATTTATAGATCTTTTAATTGATATATGATAATCAATATTAGAAAATTATTTTTAAAAATATTGCTAGCTAATATTGATATATTTTCAATGGTGTCTTTTTACTTTAAATTTTTTTTCAAATTTTATTGCTAGTTATTTTGTCAACTTTAAATGAATCACAAGACTACAGATTTTTTCATTTTTTCTTAAATTTCAGATACTTTATGTACTTGCTAAAAAAAATTAAAGCCGTAGACAAATTGTTGCAACAAAGTATTATAATTGTTGTCAGACTAAATGCTTGATTGCTTGATTCCCGCCAAGGCCTGCATTTGAGTTAAAACTTATAAATTGCATTTCAAACCTGTATTAAATAGAAACATTTAAAGAATTTTTTCTAAAAATAAATTCCAAACTTGTATGAAAAAACTAAAAACTTGTATGAAACTAAAAGAATTACACATTAGTAGAATTTAAAAATTGATTTGAAATTTTTAAATATAATGTAAGATCTTTGCATAAAAAAAGTTCTACCCAATCATCATCATCAAAAAAAAGTTCTACCCAATCATCATCATCAAAAAAAAGTTCTACCCAATCATCATCATCAAAAAAAAGTTCTACCCAATCATGGGCTGCTGTTTTTAATATTTTTATTTATTTTTAAATAACATTTAATAATATTTAAAAATAACGTTAATAAAATAAGCCTATTTTTAATTAGGTTTAATCTTATTATTTACGTTTTGTTATTTAATACTGTTAATTCTTTTTTAAGTGTGTAATTATAATTAGTAACAAAGCAAATTTAAAAAATTTGGCACCGAGGGTAATTACCCCATAGGATGGTAACAAAAAATAAAAGTTCAAACTTAAATTTTTTAAATTTATCAAGTTCTGAGCTTTTGATTTCAACTCATTGTTATAAGCATTTATATGGCAACTTTGTTTGAAAAAAGTAGTTTTCATAAAAAGCATATTTTCACGTGTTAACATATATTAAAGATGTCACAAAGTTTTATACCGTAAACCATCCCTTTTCTACAGTGTAGTTAAGTGTGAATATGTATTATGTCATAAATATTCGAGCTTTTATCACAAAATATGTGACATTAAAATTTTAAAATGATTTTCTGGCACCTATCAGTATCATTTGTTTTTTAACCTAAGTATTTGCATCACAAGTTCAAATTGTCTAGTTAAACATCAACTCAGGAACAGATTTTAAGAATATTAATACAGGAATGATTGAAATCTTCTTTCCCTCCCATCTTAAATAATGCCTTGGTTGTCTTATTTTAAAAAAAATTTTATAGTCTAAACAAACATTTTCAAGTTATGGAAAACAGTCTGAGCTTGCCAAGTATTCAGTAAGTAAATGGCTTACAAGTATTTAGTAAGTAAATAGCTTACGTATATTCAGATAGAAAAGTAAATGCCTGTAAAAGTTTAGAATTTTGCTTTAAAGGTAAACTAAACAAGCTTTGTTTATTTTATATTCCTTTTTAGAATGAAATTAAATTTTTTGTCGGTTAAACTCTTTATTTTGTATATGGAAGTTTGGTACACTTATTAAGTTACGTAATATTAAACTGTTACATAAAAATTTTGACGTAATAATTTAAACATCAGTTTCCAAACAAAATGTGACAATTGTAACCAGGTTATTTAATTTTCATTAGTCATATTCAACAACAACAAAAAAAACTAAAGGTTTATATCTTAGAGATTCAATTTTATCAGTGTTTCCTGAATGATGCAGTTTAAACAATAATGATGATTACTTTACATTGTTTTGAAAACTTTATTTCAACTATCAGCTAGAATCAACAACATTTGTAATTTCAACTTAATAATGATCTAACAATTTTTTTTAATGATCTAACAATCCATTTATTTTCTAACTTTAAATTGTAACTTTAATTGTTTTTTATTTAAACAAGTGAAAATGTTTTACTGTTGATAAACTGCACTTTTTAAGTGATTGAAAGAAAGCTTATTATTGTATAAAATTTGAATTTGTATGTTTTAAAGTTGTATTAACAAAAATATATTCAGTTGGTCAATTTGTTTAAAAAAAATAATGTTTGACTACAAAGACTACAAAGGAAAGCAGAAAATTTTTTAAAAAAAAAGACCTGTCCAGAAATTGCTGTATGTACCAAACCCCATATATATATATATATATATATATATATATATATATATATATATATATATATATATATATATATATATATATATATATATATATATATATATATATATATATATATATATATATATATATATATATATATATATATATATATATATATATATATATATATATATATATATATTTGTGTAGAGGAAGATAAAAACTAATTAAAATAATCCACAAAACATTTTATAAAAATAATGATTTATATTCCTTTTTTTTTAGTAAATTAAATGGCCAGTTTATTGGTTCAAAGCCACTTTATGTTTCATATTTTCAAGGAAAGGAGGAGAGAGAGAATCTTACAAATGAAGACTATGTAATCATTTTTAATTTTTTGTTTATTCAAATAAAAGATGAGTAAAAAAAAATTAATAGGTTGTTTATTTAACTTAATTTATAAAATTATTTTTTATGGTTAGTAATTTCATTTAAAAAAAATCTTGAACATATTTAGAATTTTTTTTTTGATATGGTTAAATGTATGGTGTTTTAAGTTACAAATATATACTTTTATTATAGCACAACGGTTATACAGTGAAGTGTGTAACACATTTAAAATTATAATATATATATATATATATACATACATATATATATATATATATATATATATATATATATATATATATATATATATATATATATATATATATAATTATATATATATATACATATATATATATATATATATATATACATATATATATATATATATATATATATATATATATATATATATATATATATATATATATATATATATATATATATATATATATATATATATATATATATATATATATATAATAGTGCTCAAAAGTTTAGCACACAGCAAGTTCAATTAATTAAATAAAAATTTTTCTTCAAAACGTAACAAATTGAAAATAAGATAAAAATTTTTAGTTATTTCAAACACAAAAATTTTTTTTAAGAATGTTTAGAACATAATAGGAGAAAAAATAAATAAAAACAATAAAAAATATATAGTAAATTTTCTGGAAGAAATTAATCATACATAAAAAAAGAAAAAAAAGCTGCTCATAAGTTTAGCACACTTGGGTTTGAAGTTCTTTTAAGGTCGAACCTTAATAAGGAATGTGAACCTTAATAAGGACTACCTCTATTTTTTATGCATAATTAACATCTTCTTCTTATAGAATCAAAAAGTTTACAACATTATTCAACTGTCAAATCATTAAACAACTTTTTTAAATTTTCTCTTATATTTTCAGCTGAAATTACTGGTTCTTTGGTAAGTTTTTGGTTCAACACAGTCCAAACATTTTTAATTGGATTCAGATCAGGTGATCTAACTGGCCACTAAAGTACCTTGATTTTGTTTTGCTCAAGCCATTCTGTTACAGATTTTGCTTTAAGGCAAGAAGCATTGTCTTGTTGGAACACCTACTCTGACTCGTTACCAAAAAAAGTGTCCTTAATAAGCTTTAAATAGTTTTCATGGATATTGATGTATCTATGTTGGTCCATTCGATTGTTGTATAACATGTGTAGACCTGGGCCATCATATGTTATGCAGCCCCAAATGCCAACTGCACCACCTCCACATTGTAGTATAGGTATAATACAGTTACTGTTATACTATTCATTGTGTTGTCTATGGACAATTACTTTGTTTTTATGATTTGAACAATTTTTCTTAATTAATAATTACTCATTTTTACATTCGCTTTGCAAAATTTAATTCGTTTTAAATGGTCTGTTAGTTTTAATAATGACTTTTTGGCAGCTACATAGTACCACAGTTTACAGTCTATTAGTCTTTTATTAACTGTTTGCCTTGATATTTTAAAGTTTTTTTTTCTGGTAATTCTATAAAAAAAATTATCATCAGTGATATTTGTCTTTCTTGGTTGCCCATAACGCTTTTTTTCAGCAGTACAACCAGTTTCATTAAACTTAGCAATAGTTTGACTAACACATGATGGTGAAACACACTTTAAATTTCAATTTCAATGTTAGAGTGACCTCCCATATTAAGGCCAATAATATGCTGTTTGATTTCTTGACTTAATGCTTTTCTTCCTATGGGAAATTATTAGACCTATTATTATTATAATCTAGAATTAAACAAAAAAGATAAACTAATTTAAAAGAAACTTTTAAAATACTACTTACTATTTTTGTAATATTTTATTAAAAAAGAGAATTTAATTTATTATGATGCAACTTCTACCGCAATAAATTTATAAAAGCTCTCCTTAAAAGTTTTAACAAGAGCTAGTGTGCGAAAGTTATGAGCAGCTTTTTTTAAAGCTTAAAATAACACTTAATGTATGTACTTAAAAAAAAAGAATGTGCCTTAGGTAACTTTTTTTAATTATTTGTTTTATGTTATGTCTAACTAATTGATAAATAGAAGAAATATATATATATATATATATATATATATATATATATATATATATATATATATATATATATATATATATATATATATATGTATATATATATATATATATTGTCCAATGAGTGGAAGTTGTTTATCAAAAAATGTGGTATATAAATGTGCTGTTTCCTCTAAGAATGTACCCGATAAACAATATATATATATATATTTTTTAAACATCTTCGCTTCCAACAAGGCTTTAAGCAACCACTAATTAGTGTTGGAAGTTACTGGAAGAGAAAAGATGAAGATTGTAGAGCAAGATAACGATTGACAGAGGACTTAAAAGATTGCAAATTATATGAATCAGGAAAACAAGATGAAGGAAGCGAATTCCAAAGAACTGATGTTTGAGGAAAAAAACTAGACAAGTAAAAGTTTTTGGAGCACTTAGGAGCAGTAATAGAAAAAGGATGAGACTTAATTGAATGAAGAGTAACATGAGAATGAGTTTTAGTAGATGGCACAAGAGACATATTGGCATAACAGAGGGTGAATGGAAAAAACGTTTTGCTAATCATAAGCAATCTTTTAAAAATAAAAAGTATTCAAAAGACACCATGCTGTCAAAATATATATTGGAACTTAAAGATAAAAATATTGATGATTTTATACTAAATTGATCCATCCTCAAAACAACGCCTGTATACAACAATATTTCCAAAAAATGCATACTATGACTACAAGAAAAATTTGAAATAATTACACACGCAAACCAAGAATGTTTGTTAAACAAAAAATTGGAATTGATATCTAAATGCAGGCACACAAATAAGTTTCTCCTAAAAAACTGTAAAAAAAAGTGAGCTCAAATAATAGTTATATTAAATCCCCCCTTTTGAAAAATAATTTTTTTAAATAAGCATTTTTAAAGAATTCTTTTTATACTTTTTTACTTTTTTTTTATTTTTATAATAAATTGATTCAAATTTATTGAATCAAATTAATTTTGATTAACAACCTTTTTTATTAAGTTAATAAGTTACTTTAAAATGATAATTCTAAACTATGTCAACACTGGTCAACGCATATTTTTGTCTGGAAAATGTAAGGCTTGTTTCTGGGTAATTTTGGAACCTTAAATCTGATCATTTATTATTTTTTTTATTTTAAGTACCCGACGGGCATTTGTTTTTAAAAGTTACAATCTAAATGTATTTTAAATGTCTTTTAAACGTCTTTTAAACGTCTTTTAAACATTAATGTTTAAAAGACGTTTAAAACACATTTAGAACGTAACTTTTAAAAACAAATGCCCGTCGGGTATATATTTTTTTTTTGATCAGTTTTTTTGCTATGTAAGGTGTCTTTATTTTCCAAAAATGCTTTATTTCACTGCTGATGATGAAACCCAAAATTTTTTTGAGGTATGATACATACAAGTTTGTATTCAGAAAATTTTATTAACTTTTTTTATGATTGTTATTAGATATACTCTATATGTGTATGTGACAATGAAAGAAATGACAATTTTATTGATTTTATTGATATACTCTATATGTGTATGTGACATTGAAAGAAATGACAATTTTATTGATTTTTTTTATATGAGTGAAGGATCTTGCAGAAGCTTCTATGTTAAAGGTTCTTTGCAGTCTTACACACTAATAATTTACTATTAAAATGGAGAAAAGAGATGCTTTTTTTCACTAAAAAAGATTTTGTAATTCAAAATTTTGATGGCTTTTGTTTATCACTTATTATTTTTCAATATTTTCTATTTTTTCTGTATTTTTATATTTATTATTTATTTTTCTATATTTTCTATTTTTTAAAACTCCTTTAGCTGATTACTGTTTTTTAATGTCAATTGAAATTACATAGAAAGTATTTAATATTAAAAGCTCAAGGATGTTTAAAATACTTGTAAACCTTATTATTTTTTTTAATTTTTATAATGGCTAAACTAATTTTACTTATAATTTAGTTATTAATATTATTACTTATTAATCACTTTGTTATTTAAAACAAGAAAGATTAAAGTAGACATCAAAAAACAGCTGTAATGTATAAACCAGAGATGTAGGTCTTGGTTTTGGTATTGATCTCCAACCTTAACTGTCTTACACTTTCTTGATCCTTGCAAAAACTATCAACACAATGGATGGATTAGTATTTAATAAAAAATTGTTATTTGGTCTTTAGCGCAATGGAATTTTAAAGAAAATTTGAGAATTTCTGGAAATGCGCTGTGTCAGCGAGCTAATAAATCTTATTGGTTTAACATGTTTGCTGACTCAGCGAAAGTGATTCCAGAACGTGCTATTGCGATTTTTTCTTTGGATAGTTTTATTGTCGTTTTGTTGTTGACAGGAGTCTTAAGTTTGTTTTACTTTGTTAAAATTCTGTAGATTTCTGTAAAGAATCTTAATTAGAATATATATATACAATATTTAATTTATTTTGGTACATTCTCCGAACCATAAAATAGAGGGTAGTTACATTTAATAATAGTTAATCGTTTTATCGTCGTTGCTTCGAAATTTACTGAAATTGTGAAATCAAAGAAGAACTTTAATAAAGTAAAAACTATGGGTAGAAACAGAAAAAATAAAAAACAATTGTCAGAAGAAGAATAAACAAATAATAAAGATGTCAATATATTTATGGCGTCACTTAAACAAAAGAAAACAATAGCAAAGACTCGAAAACAAAATATAAGCTGTTGTAGTTATTCGATGATAATATGTTTAGCACATGTGAATTCAAAGAACATCAAAAGAAATATGAAAATCAACATCAGGCAGTAATCAAATTGTTAACACAGTTATCCCAACAGTACGAAATTATGGGAAATGTTGATAAAATGTGTAAAGTAGTTAACGAAATCAAAAAAATTGAAATAGAATTCACTCAAGTTATGGATAAAATAAATGGACATTTATTCAGTAGAAAAGACAGTTCTTCAA